AGGCGAGGCAAAAGTCACTGAGAGGATGTGCAATCTTTATAGAATTCCATATTTCTGCTCCATCCAGGAATAAAGGAGAAAAATCAGCAAGCAGAGCATTTGTTAAACTGAATTGATTCTGTGAGAGTCCACAAGCAATTGAAGAGTACGAGACTGCTACTGTGTCCCCTTGAGAGAGAAGGTCCTGGGAAATAGAACACATGTAGGAACAGTCGCTCTGCCTTTGCAGGTTAGCTGCAGCAATACCAGGATGCATCCTTTTATAAGGGAAGGTAGACTGGAAAATGTGAACACAGGTGTGCACTTGGGTGCTGGCACCTCCCCTGCATGAAGCCCTCCTGTCACTGCATTTTGCCTCTTTTTTGGGAGGTGGGAGTACAGGGGAAAGAACCTAGGAGTGCTTAATCACTGAACCATATCCCCAGCCCTTTTTATATTTTATTTTGAGACAGGGTCTGGCTGAGTTGCTGAGCCTGGCTTTGAACTTTCAATCCTCCTTAGCTGCTGGGATTCCAGGCATGCACCACCATGCTGCCTGTACTTTGCCTCTTAGTGCCAATAGCTACCTTACTTCCAGATGTGCCTAGTCTGACCACATCTTCTGCCTTTCTCCTTTTCTAAAAGTCTTGCCCTTGGGCTCCAGGGGGCCTCTGGGCTGCCATCTGTATGGTTATGTACTATCACTCACTTCACTGCCTGTGCCCTGGGGTTGCTGTACTCCTTCAACTACTTTTCTCTGAAACCTGCTGCTGCCGACCTGCAATTTTGGACCAACTCAGTGTCTATTGTTTTGTGCCTGCTTTGGGGCTCTTGTCCTCTGTTTGTTACTGGCTCCATTATAACTTTAACTCCAAGAACAGCTAGGTCCCCAATATTACACAAAAGAGCTTAAATAGGAACTTAACAATTTTACAAATTTGCATGGTCCTCGCATTTACATACACTGTAATGAAGGTAGAAAATAAATGAAAAATGAAGAGAGTGAAAATAGGGAAGAAAACAAAAAAGTAAGAGGGAAGGGGAGACAAGAAGGGACATAATGATTGACTGTAAATATTTTTTAGCAATCAAAGAAGCCATGTCATATTTTCAATGGTAGTCATATAATATTATGTAATTTTCTTTTAAGCTAAAGACCTTTTGTCCTTTTATGATAGTATTAATAGTACCGTTATATTAATTTCTCTAGCTAGAAAAAATAAATAAAATGGGAGTGCCAGCCTCTATTTGCCGGCTTTCTCTTATGATAGGATCACTCCACTTTTTTTTTTTTTGGTACCGGGGATTGAACTCAGGGGCACTCAACCACTAAGCCACATCCACATCCCCATTTTGTATTTTATTTAAGAGACAGGGTCTCACTGAGTTGCTTAGTGCCTCTTGCGGAGTTTGGCTTTGAATTCGCAATCCTCCTACTGCAGCTTCCTGAGCTGCTGGGATTACAGGTGAGCGCCACTGTGCCTGGCAATCCACTTGTTCTTTTTCAAAAAAATTTTTAGTTGTAATTGGGCACAATACCTTTATTTTACTTATTTATTTTTATGTGATGCTGAGGATTGAACCCAGTGCCTTCGACGTGCTAGGTAAACACTCTACTGCTGAGCCAAAACTCCAGCCCCCACTTGTTTTTAATCAACATTCTTTAGGCTCTCTTCTCCTAACCCTGACCCCAGATCCCCCAATGTCACATCCTCTTATCACCCTGAGCCCCTAGAGTCTCCAGTGCTGATTTTGGCAGGCTACTGAACCTACTAGCCTTCCCTGCTTTCCCCTAGGGAGCACCACAGCTGACACCTACTGTCACTACTGCCCCCTCCTGTGATACTCCCTGGTTATAATTCCTCTGCATGACCTCTTAAACACTACATTTTGGGGGATTCCACAAGGTCTTTTTTCACACTAAAGAGAAGCCCTGAAAAGCTAAAGTCATAGCCATGCTGGAGGTAGTCACTAGTGCTGCTGATTCAGTACCTACAGCTCCCTCCTGCATGGGAAGCAGGACTGTTCTTATCTGGCTTCTTGAGCAAAGCTGAGGCCTTTAGTTGTTCTGGTCAATGAAGTTGTTCTGGTCACCTGTATTGCTTACTAATAGAGGCCTTAAGGGTCAACATGCAATGTGCTAGTTTATCTTACATCAGAGACTATGATGAGCAAGCACCCCCCAGCCTCAGTTAGACACAAAACACGCTAAGGGGACCACTGTAGGAAATCACTGTGGTTTGGGGCAGTTTAGGATCCCAGCATGGCTTAGCCTGTTCCAACTGTAACCACTTCTTACTCATTCAAAAATATGTATTTCTAGCTCAAATTACTCTGTTGACAAGTCACTCCAAAACCGAATTTCAAATACTGCCCTATCAACCCACCCCATGTGTGAGACAGTTGTTGGAACTGTGAGGGATGGTTTTGTCTCTCTGAAGAAATCCAATGAAACTCAGAAGAGCAATCTGATTCCCCTTCAGAGTACTTGCACTTTCATTTACACCAGCCTTCCTCAAAGTCCAGAAGTTTGCTGGTTCACTAGCCTGTGGAAGAACACTAGATGTAGTCTTCAGAAAATAATGTCTCTCAAACAGTACAATGGTCATCAGGAAACAAACATCACATGTTCCTCTCCATTCACCATACTCCAAAATCAAAACCTTCCCTGGATACCTTCAGCCCATTTATAGTATGCTTTAAAGCCGTTTCTGAATTTTATTCTTATAAAACTAGCATTGAACACTTAGATTTCATTACACATACAAATTTATCTGATCAATTTCCCTCTTAGGGTTATTCCTTAAATTAAAAATTTTTAAAAACTTCAGGCCTAAAAAAAAAAAAAAAAATCTTCCAACAAATCTCTACTAACGTGCCCTGTTGCAGAGTGCATAGCGCAGGATTTTCCCGTGAAGGCACAGTTCCACTGAGGCGCCACCCTCTTCTGGGAGCTGTGGTATGAATGCACCACTCTACACAAGGGAAGCTGCAGAGGGGCCAGCCAAGGGAAAAGTGCTCCCAGAGTTTCAGGCACTGCTGGCAGGCAGATTCTGGCTGGAGTTGGAGCCTGCCACTGAGGGAGCCCTTTACACCGGGTTAAAAGCCACTAAGAGGCCAAGCAAGGGTTCCACTCCAATCTTGTGAATACCAACAGTGTCCCTGCTAAAACCAAGGAAATACAGAAGGCTAAACATAGGAGAGCAGAAGAGGGAGAGAGATGAGGTGGAAGGAGAGGAGGTGAGGAGGAAGGCAGAGAGGGTGGCCACTGGGAGAATTTAAGAGTACATGGTACTGGACAGCACAGGGTATATTACCTCACATAAACTAGTTAGTAAGTATTTACTGACTGGAGATGATAGGCTGGAAAACATTCCATTCTATAGCAAGTCTATAGATGACATCTATTGAACATCTGTATGGCAAGTTCTTTTCTAAAAGCAACACACATTATCTTGTTTTCAATATGTGGACACGTTCTCCGTTTATAGATGAGGAAATTAAGATGTAGAATTGTGATATGTGCCCAAGACCAAAGGGCAAGTCAGTGGCAAAATCCAGATTCTCACCCAGATAGTGAAACTCCAGTGCCGGAATTCTTAATTGTGATCATAAAATACAAGGTCACTTAAGTTACTATGCATCAAAATTCCATGCAAAGAGTTCAATGAGGTAAAAACAAAGGCTATATTGAGAAAAAAAGTGATAAAGTGAAGAAAAAAGAGGAAGTAAGTTAAACTGAAGAATAAAGAGTTAAACTGAAAGGCAGTCTAACTTTTAAGATATAAATTAAACTTTACACTTAACATTAAATTTATCTTCAAATATCATAAATATAAAAGGTGAAAAGATTAGAGAAGCACTGGACTTATACAGGCACTAGAATATTCTATTTGCTCACTTGAGAAAAAAATCACAACGCTTCCCTGAAAACATATATAAGTATGCATGCGATTCTGTAAATTATTAGTTGAGCAATTCACTTTTAATTAATTTTAACTATTGTAGAATTAGCGACTTTGGTATATTTGATACTCAAAGGTGCAATACTAATCTAAAGAAATCCCCATTATCACAATGAGAATTTATACTGCAGCCAGCCCCTCACAGAGCACACATAGAAGTGGAGGCCTCTGGGCACAGAAAAGCCAGGCACAGGTGGTAAGGTTTTCCTAATCTTAGAAGGGCTATTTTTTTTCAATGGTATTTAGCTGGGGGGGTAGGGGGGAGAGGATCATATTTTGTCTTAAACATGATTTTTTTAAAAAGGATTTTTAATTTGTAATAAATTCCCAGCAAAGACAGCCTTTACTAATAGGTACAGTGTGAGGAATGAAGCCACATGAGGTTGTTGGTTCTACTTAAATATGCAGATTGCACTCCAAGCAAAAGTGAGTAAAGTCACCTTGAAGAAGAACTTGTCATTAGCCATACCTGGAGCACATGTGCCTTTTCTGAGACAGCAACTACTGAGAACTCATACTGACTTTTTGTTTTGATTTACTTATACATGCTGATTGCTTGAGTACCAATTTTAGGAATGTAATCAAGTATTCTTTTAAAATTAAAATTTGGTTTTCAATATGCATATTCTGCAGTAGAAATATATTAAATTGCTTTAACAATATCACATTAAGTTAAATGCTATAAAATATTAGTAAAGATTGCTTTTTAAAAGAACACTAAATTATCCACATAAAGAACACAATTTGTAAAATAAACTGTGAGAAGAGAAATTGAGAACCCACCAATAACTGTCAAGTTATTGATAAATTATAGATCTAACAATGCAAATTCAAGACACATATAAAACTCCAATTAGGCAAGAAAAGTTGTATTTGGAAAATTTTTTTAAATGAGAATGGTATTTTATAAACACAGAAAAATCAGACCCCAAATCACCAGAATCTGTTTCATGCCACATACTATGCCATGTGAATGAGTTATTCAGGACTATACCGACTTTCTTCCTGAAAGGAAAAGCAAGGTCATTAAAGCATTTGCTCCTTAATCTAGCCTACCTTATTTTTTGGATTGGATGTGTTCATTACACTTCGAGTCTCTTTTCCAGTATAAATGACAACACCTATTACAGTACCTGCAAAAACATGAAAGTGGTCCTTATAGAGATATGTGAAGGAAAGCAAAGAGATAACAGTTCTCATTAACTGTCTTGATGGGAAATACATTACTCTATTTGACTTTATATACATTTATTCTTCAGTCAATTTCATTTGGCCAATTCAAGAAAACCTAATCTCAACTTCTTAAATGGACTTGGAAAAAGTCAAATGATTTGTTAAACAATACAAATTCACCTACATATAACTGTAGAAAATGCACTAGCATTTCTTTGCCTGACAATAGAAAGAGGGATTCATTGCTGACAATCTGTTGAGAGGTAGTGCTCTTAACTGACAGCTGGGTGGCTGGACTCGCCTACCAAAGGGGACCAGGAAAACAGCTTCTCTTGAGTGAGAGTGCCTCCGCTGTACACCAAGACCAGCAGAAGCATCTGCTGGCACCTCTGATGCATGCAACCAAAACAGCAGAAATATTATCAAAACTGTTAACTTCTTATTTAGGAGCTACTAATCTCTTTTATTCATATCTTTAAAAGTCTGGTTTTCTAATTTTACATGTAAAGAAGGTATGCTAATTGTTAAACCTAAGATAAAAAAAAAAAAAAAATACCCTTGTAACAACCCGTAGATTACAAAGTCTCGAGGCACGCAGCTCTGGACTGTCTAAATTATACACCATGGATCTCTTTTTTAGAATTACGTCTATGCAAAATCTCTATTTCTAATTTTTGTCCTTAAGTTTTTTAAATTTTGAAGGTGAAAAACAGAATGATAGTAAGGTAATATGTATAACACTAAAACTAACAAACATTATAAAATTAACTATAATAATTATACAAAACCCCTTGAATGTCACAGTAATCAAACACATGAAATTCAGTGAACTCTCAGGACCCAAGAAGCAGATATGGCATGAGTTTCTTCTTTGGGTCAATGGACCACTGGTCACAACCCGTGACTCACAACTGCCCCTCTAGCAGGCCCAGGAAGATGAAGATGTTAACCAGGTGTCCTCAGCAGCAGTGTGTTCAACTGTGCCTCGCTGGGAAGGAAGTGGGGCTTCCATCTGTCAAATTCCTGAAGGCACAGCTGGCCCAAAATTTCCATGTGAGCTCAACTACCTGCACAAGAACGTTTCTATATCTCCACCCCTATAAACTTCCTAGATAAGACTACTACACCTGAAATTCAGAAAAATGCTAAATTCATAATGATGTAATAGTGTTGAAAGCTTAAAAGAAACATATGGTTGCATCATAGGATTCTTTAAATGTTAAAATAAGGTAAAATACTAAAGATGACCTGATCAATATTTTCTTCCTATTTTGCCAATTTGATTTAACCAAAATGTAAAAGTGCCACTGATGCAAAATTACATAACAAGGAAAATGGCATAATTATTATTATTGTTGTTTTTTAAACAACAGCAGAATGAACAAGCCTCAAAAGAACCTAGAAAACTTGTGCTAAAAGCCAAGATAGACTATGAACAACGTGGATTCTAGGCTGCCACTATAATTTACACTACAAAAGTTAAACGTAAGAAATGGCAAGACTAACAAAAAACACAGCACACATCAACTAGCCTTTAATATAATTAGTGTGTCATACTTATACATAATTTATTTACATCTGCTAATGGTTCTTATATGTATTTTCCTATTTGATTCTTCCTAAAAACTTACTGTAATTAACTTAAAATGCATTGTTTTTCCTGAGTCTCATGCTTTTCAATTACTGAAATGAGTACAGGAATACACGGGATATTCTCTGTTCTCTTATGGAACTGGTACAGGCAAAAAGACCTAGTAAGCACTGTATAAAGAAATACAGGAAACCGGGCGTGGTGGCACAGGCCTATAATCCCATTGGCTCAGGAGGCTGAGGCAGGAGGATCGCAAGTTCGAAGCTAGCTCAGCAATAGCGAGGTGCTAAGCAACTCAGTGAGAACCTGTCTCTAAATAAAATCCAAAAAAGGCCTGAGGATGTGGCTCAGAGGTCGAGTTCAATCCCCAGTACCCATCCCCTCAAAAACATAAAATAAAATAATAAAAAAGAAAGAAAGAAATACTGAAAAGGGAGGGACAGGCTACCAATTTTGAAAATGAGACATGTGAAAGCAACAAAACCTGACATGTACCTTGTACCACATCAGATAATGGAAAACCAAATGTGACAAGTACAGAATGTTTTAAAACTTTCCAGTTTTAAAATACATATATATGTATGTGTGTATACATATATATATGTGTGTGTGTGTGTGTGTGTGTGTGTGTGTGTATACACACACACACACACACAAATATATGTTTAAATGGGAGAATTTCAAAACTTTATATTTTAAGTATGAAATTAAGTACCTCTCCTCCTGGATCCAACTTGGGAATCTTCTATTCAGAAAGACAGATTTGGAAATGTGTTTACATACTAAAACCACAACCACAAAGAAATTGCTGACAGGAAGGTACCATGTCACAAAGTCACTAGAGGTGGTGGTGATGTAATATTGGTAAGTAATCAAAATGTAGCTCAGTCTGTACCAAGGAAATGTTTTAGAAGATTTATAAGCACTTAATTTTGAAAGGCAGGGGTTAATTTCCCTAATCCATATTTACAAATCTCATACTGACTAGTTACTGAAAAGTCAGTGTAAGAAGATCCCGGTGCTGGCTGTACCCAACAGGGTCACAAGCATGACATGTCCACCACTGATTGAGTAGCCCTACCCTGCGTGATGTTGTCTGTTGGTATGACTTTAAACTTCAGTGCCATCCCCCTGTCATTCAAGGGGACAGTTGCTGACATATTAGCTATTACATGAACCTCTTATATCATGCTATTGAGGAAATTTCACATAAAACCCTATCAAGTTCTAATTAACAGAACAGTTATACTTTAAGCAAATAACTTTCCTAATGCAAATTAAGAAAAAAAATGCTAACAAGGCCAACGTTAGGGGGAAAAGGTATTCTTTTTTATATTTTATAAGTATTTAACACGTATGACCACAAAACAATGCAGCAAGTCAAACTGACTATTCTCCTAAATATTTTAAAAGATCAACCTAGTACAATATTTTCAGTTGCTTTTGACCACTGAGAAAATATTAAGTTCAATTTACTTATTCTCAACCAATCCTCACAAACCCCAAATTAACTTAAAGATGATTCATGGATAATTTATACACACACATATAAACACGTGTGTGTGTGTATGCAAAACATAAAACCTAGACCATTTTAACAAAAGGATTGGTGGTTGAAACTACTGGATCAAAAAGAGAGTAGAATGCTTACTTATTTATTACAAAATTAACTCAAACCAAAAATGAAACATTTGTTTTTTCTGTGTATGAAAGGCATACAGAGAGTACTGTCAACCAAAGTATGATACGTGCAGACTGGCTAGATACTATAGAAACAAGCTTTCAGGGGGCTGGGGTTGTGGCTCAAGCGGTAACGCGCTCGCCTGGCATGCACGGGGCGCTGGGTTCGATCCTCAGCACCACATAAAAATAAAATAAAGATGTTGTGTCCACCGAAAACTGAAAACTAAATACTAAAAAAATTCTATCTTTAACAAAAAAAAAAAAAAGAGAAGAAAAGAAAAGAAACAAGCTGTCAGGACCACCCACATCAGCCAGGAACTGACTCTGATTGACAGATGCTCTCTGGTGCCAATCTTCACAAATGCCAGGGTCCACACTGCATCTTAGTATGGAGCCTTCACATGTTAGGCCAGTCAGGGAAGCAAACAGGCAACACAGGTAGGAGGTAAGGACACCACGTGTTATAGACTGACTAAGTGCCAGGTGCACAGTGACCTGAGGAGACAATGAACTGAGCATCACAACCTCAACAAGACCAACCAAAGTAGGAAGGTAGGACACAGAGTAACAAAGAGGACCTGCTCTCAGGTCTCGTGTCCTCACAGCCAGAAGTACAGACAGGGCCACAGGACATCTGCACCAGGCTCAGGTGCCACAAAGCTGGGGACATACAGAGGACACATGACACACAACCCCAAGGGTGGACTCCACATGGCCAGAGGCAGAGAGAGGGACACATAAGAACTGCACCAAGGACAGAGTCCACAAGCCATGGACATCACAAGGACAGCAGTAAACTTTGGACAGAACTCTGATGTCCACCTCTATGGCCCACACAAAGTGCTCCAAGAGACCATTCCAGAAGAAGCAGCCCCCACCCATGTGCCCAGGACCTGCACTGCAGCCTATTTCCTGGGTATTTCTGGTGTTCTCGGCTTCACCCACCTGCTCGACCTCCTTGGCCAATTTTTGTCCCCATCCCCATAGATCTTTGGGGTTGGCCCTTCAGGCAACTTCCTACTGGGACAGGTCTTCCCATTTCACCCTCTTAATGACCTTTGGGCCAGAGTTCATTTTGAAAATCTCATTGAGACTGCTACTTTCATAAAATACAATAAAAATGAATTACCAGAACAAATTAACAACCAAATTAAAGAACACATATGTGCCAATATTTCCAACATCAGTAAACCTCATCCAACTTCTATAACAGTTTCCAAATATTTATTATTCTCATTTTCCACGATGAGTAAACTGGACAGCCCCTCAGTACATATTCAATGTGCTAATGCAGAGGACTAAACTCCTGGAGGGGACTGACAGGAGGGGCCTGCAGAGGTTTAAATTCCTGGAGGGGCTGTCTGTACATACTCAAGGCCCTGCTCCAGAGGACTGATTCCTAGAGCAGTCTGTGCACATTTGTGCCTGGTTTAAGGGCTCAACTCCTGGACAGTCCTGTTGCGGAATACCGATCTCTGGTTCTGGAAGGCCCTGCTTCCTTCTAGGCCGCAGGGACTCCTCCGAGAACAGACTCTTGTGTGCACATCATAATAAGCTCTGGAGGACCTATATCTTTTTTGGAAGGATAGGGTTCTCTGAATCAATCAGGGCAACTGAACATGGCAGCTCAGGAAGTTCTCTGTCTTCCTTTGGTCATCTGCTGTCCTGTGGGTCTGTGTTTGAGTCCTTGTTCCTATGCATTGAGACTCCACGACAGAGAAAGAACGGCCAAGTTTGCTTTACTTAGAGCAACTTGAGGGTGTGGTTCAGTGGTAGAGGGGTTGTCTAGCATCCACAAAGCCCTGGGTGCCACCCCTAGTATCACACACACAAAAAAGAGCCACCTTGCATTCAATGCAGATATAACTTTAACATGTAAGATTGAAAAGAATTCTAAACTTATGATCAACTACAAAGAAGACAAGAACCCTCAGGTTATTCCTGGACATCTCGAGTCTTTCCAAATGTTGTCAGGACACGGTAATCTGGTAAAGGACAGACTTGGGTAGTTGTTCACACAACAGGCTTTTAAATAAAGGTTTACTCGTGCATTTTAAATATGTCCAAACACAAAATAACATTAAAGAGAGGTCAGTTAACCTTCTTCAGTGGACATTTAAAAATACTCTCTGTGAGGATCAAGTGCCCTGGCAAGCTAAATGCTACATGGCAAAGAATAAGAAAGAGTCTCTGTTGCCAAAGTAAACAAGTAGCAACTATCATTCACCAAGATCATCCAGCCTTAAGGTCACAAAAGAAAATCTCTTTTCAGGAAATTATATGGGATGTCTTAGAAGCCTTTACCTCAGATGCTTCTGTTTCTTTGAGGAGAATGGTCACAAATCAATACTACATGGCATTAATGACAAGACTCTAACACATGCTTAAAAAAGAAACAGAACAAAAGATTAAATGAAATCGATTTTATAAAGAAAACCTTAGTATCTCAATGACACGTAACTTAAAACAATAAATAATATCGTGTTAAATACAGAACAAATCGGAATTTCTGATCATATAAGCCACAACCTGTCTTTCAGGTATTTTGCTATGAAATATTAATGTTGAGCTCTGGGGCTGATGGCTTTCCTGGAAGGCATACCTGGACTTCAGTGCTGCAGCAGGTCCTGCCTGGCTCTGGCCTGACCGTAACAATGAGGCTACAGAGTAGTCCAGGAGGAGGCTGGCAGTAAAACCACCTCCCTGCCCTGCCCCTGGCTGTCAGCAACACACACCAGCAAGGACAGCAGAAAGGTGGCAGGCAAGATAGCAGGGCTTCCCTGGCTTCCACATGCCCTCTAATGGGGCCTGCAAACACCCTTCCTGTGGTGCCAGAGGCAGTGCTGTCCTGTCTGTCCCTGAGGTCTCCTCACTGAGTGCCACCCTTACCTCTCTCTCTGTGCATCCTGAAAAACTAAAGTAAGATATGGGATAAAAAAAAATCAAATACCTCAAAGAATTGACACCTACTAGAATTCACATATTTGCCCTCAAACTTGTTTTAAACACATGAAACATCAGTATAAAAGTGAATCCTCTTTCATATTCTGTCCCTAGAAGGTGAACCTGTGCACTCCTGAAGGAGCCTACTGTACACAATGGCATACAGCAAGGCCCCCATGTGAACATAGCACTTCTAAAATTACAACTGGCTCTAAGGCACACTGAGGAGCATATTAGGAAATACATGTCAGAACCCAAGAAACTGACCACCTGTTCTTCCAGGAAGACTGCACCTCCATGTTGCTTTTGGCTTTACTATCCCCAGTGCCATGGGTGACGAAGTACACAGGCCTTGCCACAAACATACTTCAGGCAATTCTGAGAAAGCTGTTTGGAGTCCTCATCCTGGGAGAATTCACACTGAAGGAGAACTTCTTTCTCACCTGAGGCAACAATGGTGCTTGCCCACAACGTGTTTTCTATGCTGAGACTTTCATGAATGGGAGGGTCACTGTCTTCCTGTTCAGGGACAGAAAAAAAAAAAAAAAACGGGAAAATTGGCCATGTTCTTTTTATTATTCATACTTTAGATAATCTATAGTGTTAGAAACGTGCCCACAACCTGGATCCAATGGAATAGCAGTGTTAAAGGAACCTCAAAATGTAAGTTGTAAAAAGCAAAGTTGAAAGACCAATCTTGAGTCAACTGTTTTTAATATTTAGCTTTAATATAAACAACTTTAAATGTTCATAAAAGTACTATATATACTGTGATACCGTTTAAGAGTAGGCTAAAATCACATCTTCAAATGTGTTTTAGCAACATTCCTGGACTAGGAACTACTTCCCTGCAAAGGTGGAAACATTAGCATGAACATGATCACAGATGAACTCAGTCATGTTTACCCCACCTTTCTGCAAGGACAAGGACTAGACAGGTATAACTGTGAATATATGCCTGGGGGGGGGGGGACACTCCCGCAAATACCACAATACACCCATGAGAAAAGTCTTTTCTCTTAAATTCCGTTTTAAAAATGTTGTTATTATATTGGATATTTTTCTTTTATTTCTTATACATTTTTGTGTTGGTGCATTATACTGTACATAATGATGTATCTGTTGTTATATGTTCAAACATGTACCAACAGATACATCATTATATATTATGATAGTACATATTTTTCATGAAACAAAATTCAAATATAAGTTGTATGTTGCTAATAATGTATACAGCTATCAAACACGGTCATACATCAATATCATAACAGCTATATATTCAGTCTAATTTTATCATCATATTCTTAATGTTAATATTCAGACATAACACTTAGAACTTAAAATCTGAAAACCTTCCTCTTAACCTGAGGTTATATAGTGTGCGTGTACACACACACACTCACACACACATATAAAATCTCAAGATATATTTGATATCAAGATATATTTTAATATAATAAGGAAACCAAATAGGGGAAGAAAAGAAACATTTTCTAGGACCTGGATCCCAACAGTGTGCTTGCGCTGGGAATTACCTAGATCAGGAACCAACAGCCAGAGTGCCTGGGTTATCAGCTAGCTGTGAAGAGTGAAGCTGTAGCCTGTCAGCTAGATACTCATGGATCGGCCATAGACCAGTTTGCTGTGGGTGAATACCAAGACGGGCAGACATGGCATGTGCAAAAACACAGAGAATGCAAACTCCTATGTGTGGGATTGAGCTAGGTTTGGAAAGCAGAGCCCTGCAAATGCACTGATGAAGGGCTGTCTTCAACACATATCTACTCTTGCATGTGACCAGTCTCTGCCTCATTAGCTGCAAGTACTTTTAATTTTGCAGTCCCCAGGAACTATGTTTTTCAATTAAAGTTTTATGCTTACAAAAAGCTACTGATAAACTATTCAGTGGCACTGATGGGCAAAATACTTCATGTAAATGTATCTTAAGTGGGAAAATGAAGGTTAACATAATGCCATTAAAAATACTTGAAAAGTGAAAGAATATTTGTATTTATGTTTGGATGACAAAGTTATAAAAATTTTTACACTGTAACCACTTTACTTTTATATAATCTTGTAGCAATGGAGATATGTTTATAAATTTTTTTATATATCTTATGAAATTGAGCTCTTTGCATAGTACCTCACATACCATCATTAGCCTTTAAAAGGCATAAGAATATTCAAGTACTCTGCTTCATATTTTCCAAAATGTTGTTCGTTCTTCCATGCACAATGACAGGCAGGGAGTTGTCACTTATTCCCATGTTTAGGTAGCTCTTCAGGTAGATTCAAAAATTGTCTAATTAAAAAATAAGTAATCCAGGAAACTAAATTTTGCCATTGACTTTTATTCTTTTGAAGAACAGCTACAACAAAAAACCATTTAGAAAAGAAAAGCAAGTAGCCTCAATAGATTAGCTTATTTTATACTTGAATGTATGTCTGAACTGAAATGACCAGGTTCTAAACCATTTACACAGATACAGTTCTGATAAACGCTGCTGGAGAAAGCGAAATCTACATATCCTCACTTCTATTTCCTAAATACAACTGACACTACCTACCCTTTGATTCTACAGACAAGAGAATAGCTGTTCCAGGAGGCCCAGTAAACAGAGTGCATAATTGGCAAGAAGAGGCCAAGTGCTGATTTGCACACTTATCATTTAAAGTATGAAACAAATAAAATTTTCTCTAAATGTATTCTGAGTTACCTGCACTGCATCATAGCAATGTACATGTCTGTTTATCACCTAGGACTATAAACTAAGTCACTATAGGGTTGAGCTCTACTTTCTGCCCACAGAACAGGTACTCAAATTTATCCAATGTATCAGTAAATGAAAGACAGACTCTCAAAACTGTTTTGCCAATACCCACAGGCGTTGAGTGCCCGCACATGCATGGCAGCACACAGGGGACAGTGCGTGCCCCTAAGCTGCGCTGCCCCACTGTGGTCTTTAGTGTCCCCTTTGGTCCATGCCACCTGTAGCTATCATCTTCAATGTAGCAACCTAGCTCAAAGTAGACCTTAAAACTCTAATGCTTCCCTTAATAATAAAATTTAAAAATTATTCACACATGCTCACCATTTATCTTCCCCTTATGTTGATCTCCAAGAGCAAGAAGGGCCTTAAAATATACAAAAAATGTATAACACTTTCTGAACTGCAAATAAATGACACTATACAATGTAGATTTAGAAATTAAGTCAATTCCTACATTGCTTTTTGGTAACCATTTCACTGTGTGAAAGGTTCTGTCCATTCTAACGTGGTAGGCTGAAGAATGCGTTTTGTATCTTTGTGCTTCTTTCCAAGACTAACAGCAGTGACAGGCTTTAAACATTAACACATTTGTCGAACAGAGAAAATCATTTTAAAAGGCAGTTCCTTACCCACATTCTATAATGAAAATAAAAATGGGGAAGATGGGAAAAATTTATTCCAAATAACTTTCATTTTTGGTTTTCTTCTCCTTCAGGTTATATAGATTGAAAAGATGAAACCTGCTTTATGGAAAGAATACAAACCGTTTCCATTTCAAGCTGTTTTCTCAATGGTGTGGCTTATTTAACAAACAACAGAAATGTGCTTTTTAAAGAATATTTTTATTTGAAAACATAAAGCAAAGTTAAGTGTGTTATGATTTGCAGAAAATGCATTGTAAGAAAAACTAGAAAGGAGGTAAGGACTATGAGAACTGTTGCACTTCAAAACCAATTAGCTTGAACTCCAGATTCCAAGAGAATGCCTATGTTTGAACAATTCATGAAATTAGCCATCCGGAACAATGATGTGAACCGCTTTCTCCACGTCAAACATCTCCCAGTCTGCCTCTGTGCTGCCTGGAGAAAGGCAGACGGGGTATGTCTGTGAGATTCTGTACAGGTCACAGATGCATACTGTGTCCCTGCTATAGAGGCCTTGAGTTAATCTGTTCAAATTCTAATTTAAGTATTTAAGCAGGATCCCTCCTCCCTGCAAAAGGTATAATTTTTTCTTGATAATGTAAAAAAGGAAAATAAACAAATATCACAAAATGTTCACTTTATTGAATTTTGCTAATTAAATTGAATTCCATTTCTAGTTACAAAACTAGTTATTTAATATTTTCTTTATTCCTATTTGAAAAAAGTACATAAAATATTTTTCATCTTAATCTGAAACTCTAGATCAATACATTTTAAAAGAAAAAAATTAGAAACGTCAAATGAGGGCAATGAAAAGCCATTTATTATATTCATCAAGAATTATAATAACCCATACAAGATATATGTGTCTTTAACCAACTTAGAGTCCTGAAGTAAGTTTCTCTCATTTTAGAACAAGGATAGCCTCCCACAGAAGTCTACCCTCATGTCGACAGTGTGCACCACCAGCAGGCCTTGTCTCGGTTCTCACATGGGGCCATTCCCACCTGTCTTCTGATATGGGAAGACTCCTGCCTGTCTTGGTTTTTAAAACATTTTTTTAGTTGTAGATGGACATAATACCTTTTTTTCACTTATTTATTTTTATATGGTGCTGAGGATTGAACCCAGTGCTTCAGACGTGTAAGGCAAATGCTCCTCCACTTAGCTACAATCCCAGTCTCCTGTCTCGGTTTTGATGTGGATGATTCTCACCTCTGTAGAAAACCTCAGACACATAAATTACCAATGGGAAAATGCAACAATTGCTTGCTATGCTCCTGATGTGAAACTCAGGTTGCTAAGGATCAGTCCACTGGGTCCACAACCTCCCTAAGAGGGTACGTATGTACACAAGTGACCAAGACATTAAAGGTCTTGCTATCGCCATGTGATGTTAATTAACCCTTCCTAAATGACAAGGCATGATAAAACCTAGGTATAATATAGAACTGTAAAGATGAGCTAGGGTATCTGTGGGCTAGGGAAGGCAGCAGAGGGCCACCCACAGGAAGCTCCCTCCTGCACAAATTCTGCAGCCAGATACAAGGCTCTTATGTTGTGGCCACTTTGAGTGGGGTGAGAGTACCAGCCTGAGGAAAGGGTATAGGCACAGATCTCTTCAAGAGCTAGGCCTGCTCCACCTCCCTTCCCACCCAATGAGGCATTTTTACTTTGTGTGTACCTCCTAGCAGACCTCCTCTAGACTGGCTGGCGTGCAGGAAAGGGGAAAGAACAAACATTTTTGGAGTGCCCACACACATGCTGATTAGCCTTCCTTCCTAAGATCTGGGAAATAAGATTGAGAAGGTTGTGCTTGGTCAGGGTTAGACATCTAGTAAGTGGAAAAGTCAAAATTCAAATTCAGAGTGAAGAATCAGGTAGATCAAGAGGTCTTAGAGAACATGAAGCCAACCAATGCACATTCTGCAAAGAGGAGGGTCATCGGGCCTGATTTCATAGACCTACAAATCTTCCTAACTTCCTACATAAATCATCTGTTTTCACTGATGGAGTTACTGTCCTCATGGTTTTCAGAGACTGGCCTGAATCATTTTTGTACTGTTTACAAAAAAGTAATGCTTTGCTATCTTGTTTTTGAGTC